TTTTTTTTTTTTTTTTTTTTTGGCAGCTGGTCAGTGAGGAAATCCAAACCCTTGACCTTGGTGTTACCAACACCACGCTCTAACCAACTGAGCTAACCAGCCAGCTCTTGATTCTTTATAGTAGGATTATCATACCTAATCAAATGAAATTTTTGACATGAATACACATTTGATTTATCTAATTCTATCCTAAGAAGGAGGAAGACAGATTTTTATTGAACTTATGTAAATACTACGTAGTCATGAAAAGTAAAGAAACTTAACAAAGACTTTCTGAATATTTAACCATCATTCTGAATAGTTTTGTAAGCAAGGCCAATTATAAATGTTAATTTTTTTTACAGAATAACTATCTTTGTTTTTCTAATGATGTGTTAGTTTATAATCTACAGTAGGAATTTTTAAAGGAATTTTTTATTCTGAGGTGTCAGAATAATATATCCTTTAAAGAATGTTTAATCTTAGTTTTTACAAGTATAGCTTTACACTGAGAGTAGGAAATGGATTAAAAAGAAAGGGGTTTTCTTTTTCTTGTATATCCATCAAAAATAGAACATTAACCTGGGTAATAAACTTTTGTTTTATTTATCTTTGATTAAGCAATCTGCTTTTATGAAGTCTTCTGCTTCTGGAATAAAAGTGAAAGTCTGACTCAGTCCCCACTGGTGGCAATATCAACTTTTACCCATGAATTTATTCCCAATTACTCTTCATCAATTTTTTATAGTCGAGTGGGAAGAAAGATCTGCCTGCAGGCAGATTATATTGTAATCAGACTATTCTTTTGTACAACGTTTTTTTCATTTATCCACATAAAGACAAAAAGAACCAGCAGCTTTGGTTTTACAATTTTAATTATGAGTCAAAAATAAACAGTAGAAAATCCACCAGTCAGCCAGCTCCTAATCTTACAGGGCTGTTTTCCAGGAGTTGTGTGTACACACTCACACAAATTTCTTAGTGATTTAAATTCATAATAGCATGTAAGACAATGACAGTCATGCTTCCCGGGGATATCGAAATTCTCAAGACAAACAGACCAAAAGAGAACAACACAAAATGCAGTCAAATCCCTATCTACTGCCACCCAGCAGAGAATAAATTCCTGTCATCTGTCCCCAAGCAGAGACCACCAGATAATCAAACCATAAAATCAGATTCACAGGTTATTGTCACCAACAGGGACATAAGTGGCCCCGTACAAATAAGAACAAGAATCGCAATCAGAAATAGTAACAGAGCTAGAGGTAGGAGGAAGGAGAGAAAAAAAAGTCAGCAAGAGTGAAGCTATTTCCACACGAAATTCATTCTAGGAGTCAAAAAGGGGGCATGTCTGAGTGTCAACAGCTTGTGAGGTGCATTTCTCAGGCAACACAATTTAGTCAGTTTTGGAAATATGTTTCCCAGGGATAATCTCAGAAGAACCTGCGAAAAGAAACCCAGAGACAAAAAATCATTTATTAAATAAAACTTGCAAAGAGGGGCCGGCCTGGTGGCGCACTTGGTAGAGTGCAGTGCTTGGGAACGCGGCGGCGCTCCCGCTGAGGGTTCGGATCCCATATAGAGACCGGTCCGCTCACTGGTTGAGCGCGGTGCAGGCGCGACACCAAGGGTTGTGATCCCGTTACCGGTCACGAAAAAAGACAAAAAGGAAAAAAAAAAAACTTGCAAAGAGGTTGCAAAGGAATCAGACTGCAGGAGGAAAGGCTAATCCAATAAAAAATATATATGTAGTAGGGATTTAAAGAAAAAACAATTACCAACATTACTAGATATATAGTTAGTCTGTTCATGGTGGAAAAATAGCAATTTCCTCACATGCTTACCATATCTAGAAAGGTCATGACATACCTCAGAGAGCACCACTGTAAAAATCAGAGATATCCACAATATGAAGAAATCATAGCATGCCTGAACATCAGCACTAGAAGGGAACATAGATCTTTTTTTCTAGTTTGTTTTTATATGTTCCATTAAATAGTCTATCAAAGATCCTAAAAGAAACAAAGGGCTTGTTTTTCTTTTCTTTTCTTTTTTTTTTACCAGATTAAAGCCAAGTCACTTGTGTTTGTTTGGTTGTTTTTAATTTATCAATATAGCTTACATCTTAATGATTATAGGCATTCTGCATTTTATGTATCATCATCTACACTTTAAGAATATAAAATCTCACTAGTATTGGAGAAAATAAATGGTATTGTTAAATTCCTAACAAAATTACAATTTCATTAGTTAAGTTTACACTATTGAGTGTTGAGCGTAAATTTACAAAAAGCTACAAAAACAAAGTCATTAACTTATGAATAAATTTTAATTCAATTAAAAAAATTTTTAAATCAGGGATAAAGTTCTTTTTGTGAGTGAGTCAATGACTTATAGGAAAGGCTTAAGGTTTCATTTATTTCAGGGACTAGAACTAGACAAGGTGACCCCATTTTTGTTTGTTTATTTCAAGGTCAAAGTGTTTTGGGTTTTTTCCTCTGACTGTGGGATGTGATGTAATTTTTATTTATAATGGCTACAGGACAGGATGTCAGTTTTGCTTCCACAAACTGAATAGCTGAATATTTGACAGAAACTTTCACTTGCTAGCTGAATATTAGAGAGGTTCTTAAGACAAGAAGTGACCAGTGTCAGTTAAGGTGTGTGCTTTTGCAGATAACAGAAAAACACAAAAACCAACTCAAACTGGCTTAAACAAAAAAGGGAATCATCAGCTCATATGTGAAAACCCACAATAGTGGGGAGGGGGCTTCAGGCTCTGTTTGGTGAGGGCTCTCACTCTGTTTCTCTATAAATCTCTCAGCTTCTCTCTCCTCTGTATGGTCTGCAAGCTGGTTTCCCTCATGGTGGCAAAATGGCCGCAGCTGTTCCTGCCCTCACATCAATAAACAAGAGAAGACTTGTCTTCTTTCAGCCACCGAAGAAAGGAACTAGGCTTTACCCCAATTGAGCCGACTTAAATCATATGCTTTTTCTTAAACCAATCACTTGACAAAGGGGAAAGCTTCATGCTGATGGGCCTGTGCTAGTCAAGACACACCTATAGCTGAGGGTAGTGACGGTCAACCCCATTCAAACAGCATGGCTGGTATTCAGTGGGGAAGGAAAGAATGTTCACTAGAAAGGCAACCCCAATATTCACCACAGAATCTCACCTTTTACCATTTTTTTCCTTTAGCTAAGAAGCCCTTTCTTTAAAGGAAATCTTTCTCAGAAGCTCAATACATTGAAATAGATTTAAATGGACCTGCTTAGGCTAGGATGCTGGTGGCAGAGATCAACCTGCTCACTCCTTAGAACACCTCTCCATAACTCCATTCCAGGAGTTACATCTGTCAAGGACAGTTTGAAGCCCACTGGACTAACGCAGCTCCTTAATTCTAACACGGCTTCTTAATTCTTAATTTCCAAGGCCTAGAAAGGGAGAGTGACTTGGCCAAAGTCACACAGCCAATAGGTGGCAGAGCTGGGACTAGAACTTGAATTTTCCAGCTTCTGGTCCAATGTCATCTTTACACAGAATCTTGGGGTCTCTCTCTCCCCATGTCTTTCAACAGTACGTGAAAGCCAAGTGCCCCAGGGCCAGTCTGCCCCCTCTCTATGCTCTAGAGCTGCTGACCGTCTATGCCTGGGAAATGGGTACTCAGGAGGAAGAGAATTTCAGGTTGGATGAAGGCCTTACCACCGTGATGCAACTGCTCCAGGAGTATGAATTCATCTGCATCTACTGGACCAAGTACTACACACTCCAGAACCCAATCATCGAGGACTTTGTCAGAAAACAACTAAAAAGAGAGAGGTACTCGACCACTGCTTGCCCACCAAGGCTCACAGAAAAAAAGAGAATCAAGGGGGAAATAATATAGAGTTTTATGGGTTGGCTTTATTAAGCAGTAAGGCTGACATGGTAGTTGAGCATTGAACTCTGATACTGACCCAGCTGGCATCCCAGGTTGACAGCCTATCAAAATCATGGGGGGCCTTAGGAGATATAAGCCTTGTGCCTGTTCCTTAAGCCACCCCTGCACTCTACCTCAGCCTTCTTGCTCTCAGAAGACCATTTCAGTGCTTTTTAGAGATAGCATGGGAGCATGGAAAGAATCTTGGAGACCTAAGTGTAAATTTCAGCTCTGCCATTTTCTCACCTCTGCGAGCCTCCAATTCCTTATCCGGAAAGCAGTAGTAAACTGGCACCTACGATGCAGGACTGTTGTGAGGATCGGAGAAAATCTATGTTAAGGGCCCACAGTATCTAGCATATGGTAGATGCTGGGTAAATGCTCACTATTGTAGCACACGCAGCCGGTGCCGCACTTGTATCCCTTGGCTTTGTGAAGACTGGCTCAACTTCCACCTGTCAGCACCCACATCCCTTTGCCTGAGGGTTTTCCTCTCACCAGCAAACCCGCCCCCAAAGCAGCCCTCAACCAATGACTGGTGAGAGTTGGTGGATAAATACACCAGCTCCCATACACCTCTGATGGAAGCTTCACACTGTTTCCCAGAGCTCCCCAGTGGGACTTAACCTCCTGCTCTCCATGGTGGTGATTACCTCGACACTCAGCCTTTAGTGGCTGCCTTCCCCTCCTGTCTCACTCTCCTGCTCCCTTCTTAGTGCTTCCTGGGATATCCTTCCAGATAAACCAAAACCTTATCTGGGATCTGCTTCTGGGGAACCCCACCTAGAAAACTCTTTATATTAAAAAGCTCTAGGGCCTGCCCGTGGCTCACTCGGGAGAGTATGGTGCTGATAACACCAAGGCCACGGGTTCGGATCCTGTATAGGGATGGCCACTTATCTCACTGGGTGAGCGTGGTGCTGACAACACCAAATCAAGGGTTAAGATCCCCTTACCGGTCACCTTTAAAAAAAAAAAAAAAGCTCTAGGCCAGTACAAGCAATATCACAAGAATTCTTAGTGTTCTGTTATGTTGGGTCTCTTTTTGTAAGGAAGAAAACCCAGGTGTACTAGTCCGTTTCTGTGGCTTGTAACAGAATACCCAAAACTGGGTAATTTAGTAAGAAATGAAATTTATTTCTTACACTTGGAGGCTGGGAAATCCAAGGTCCAGGAAACACATCTGATGAGGGCCTTCTTCTGGGTGGTGACTCTCTACAGCCGTGCATGATGTCACATGATGAGGAAATGGCATGGGCAAGAGAGAGCTAACCTTCTCACCTGCCCTCCTTAGAAAGCCATCAGAATCATACCCATCACTCCATGAATGGATTAATCCATTCACTACGGCATAGTCTTCACAATCCAATCACTTCTCAAAGGTCCTACTTTTTAAATAATTGCATTTTCTACCCTCTTCACACTGTTATAGTGGAGATCAAATTTCCAATACATGAGCTTTTGGAGGACACTTTTGACCCTTAGCACCAGGTCTTCTTATGAAAAGAGGGTTTATTATAAGGATGCCCAGAAAATTGAAGTTGGAAAACCATCAGGCCCTGAGGCAGACCTAGAGACTCTCTCCCTCTCTGTCATTCTCTCATGGCCCATTTGCTCTTCTCCCCTTCCCTGCCTCTGCTCCTCTCTCCACACCTGTCCTGTTCCCTCTTCCTCCCTGTTGGGGAGTCACCTCCATCATCCCTGGTCCAAACCCCAGAGGAAACCAGTCTGATCACTAGACACAGGTCCTGCATGTCGGGTCACTGATTGGTCACCTGGCAGCCAATGGAACGAGCCACTTTGGTGATCCCTGCCCCATAGGACAGCCTGGTGCTACTCCCTGACTATTTAGAGAAGACTATTTCAGGAAGCCAAGGATACTGGGAATAGCAAGCATGGAGCCCAAGTGTCCTGTTCACTCCAGTAGCCTGCTATCACATTCTATCACCTAGATAAAGTCGCAGTTCCCTCCTAAGCCAAAAACTCTTGGAGTACAAAGGTTGGGTCTTAATGAACTTGGCATTGGACACATGCAATCATCCCAAGTGGCCCAAGCAGGCTGTTAGAACTCCTTCAAGCCAATATCTTTAAAATACTCATTCAACATTTATAAAGAGGAGAGACACTTGGAGGCAACCCAACCTCTTCTCTGTTGAGGGAGTAGATGGATAAGATTTCCATCTGTTGGCTATGAGAACTTAAGGGGTCCGTGCCTCAGTTTCCTCATCTGTAAAATAGGAACAAAAATAACAATAATAATAGCCCCTACCTAATAAAATTGTTGGAAGGATTAAAATAGGTTAATTCACATAGAGTTTGGCCCAGCGCTCCAATAAATGTCAGTAGGTGGTGGTGGTGGTGTTACTGTTATCCAAATCAATTCAGCAGCTCTAACCTCAAACTTGTGTAGCTGCTCTGAACTTAAAAGGCTCACCTGTCTAAGTGGGCATCTGTTATTGCTCCAGAATGCCTCTTGAGGCCTCACCCCCAAAATTCCTTGCCAATACCTAGCATACTCTCCCTGAGAGGAACTTTTGGAAATATGACCATCTCCATCTTGTTACTCTCCAGCAACGTTTTTGGGCCCTCCTGGACTGACAGTCCTGGGCTCTGGACATAGCAGATTCTCAGTGGTTTGAACAGATGGTTGCTGAGAAGGCTTCCTTCTGGCTTGCAGGCTTCCAAACCAGAAAGAGGCTGGGCACCCTCTCCCTGTGTTGCAGGCCCATCATCCTGGATCCGGCTGACCCCACCCACAATGTGGCAAAAGGGTACAGATGGGACATAGTCGCTCAGAGAGCCTGCCAGTGCCTGAAACAGGACTGTTGTTATGACAACAGGGAGAACCCGGTCCCCAGCTGGAACGTGAAGGTAATGACTCTTCTCCCAGATGTCAGGGGCTTAAAGCTCAGGATGATATAACTATATAGTAATTACTTATTCACTTCTGTGCCAATGGAGAAGAGGACTATATATGTTTGTATGTATATACATACATATACACACATATATATATATTATTTCTCCCCCTGTGGCTGACCGGTACAGGGCTCAAACCCTGGCCCTGGCCCTTGGTGTTATCAATACCACTCTCTAACCAACTGAGCTGACTGGCCAGCCCAGAACAGAACCTTAGAGTTAGAAGGTTTGAGGCCCAGCTGTACTATCCACCAGCTCTGTGAACTTGGGAAAATTGTTTGGCTCTCTGAGCCTCAGATTCCTTATCTTTAAATTCTTGTTCTTTTCTGTGTTTTTCTCATAACCTACTGGAAAATCAGTTCCATGTTCCTAATCATTCTTTGCATGAGCTGAGACCAGCCAAGTCAACTCAACCTGCTGTTTTGTGACAATACTGGGCTTGGGGCTGGTGGGGGGTGGGGGCCAGGGGGCAATGGTGGTGCAGAAATAGGACATGGCCACTACTCTCAAGGAACTCACCCCATGTTGTTAGGAAGCAAGTCCATGAAACAACATTGCACCAAACTGCTGGAAGGAATTACTAGAGAAGACAAGATACTCAGAAAACAAAAAATGTTAAGTAATATTATTAGGTAATACCAAACCTAGGTACAGGCAAAGATCATAAGAATCTATTTTATCCACATTGTGCTTTACAGTTTATAAGGTGCTTGTCCAGGGGCTGTCTCAGCGGATCCTCACAGGCCATTCTGTAAAGTAGGAAGGTCGAGTATTACCTTTATCTTTATTATTATTATTACTATTATTGCCATTTTACAGAGGAGGAAACAGGCTCAGAGAGGTTAATTAACCGAGGTCATACTGCTAAGAGGTAGCAGAGCTGGGAATCCCACCCACGTCTTTGTAGGGCTTTGGAAACAGAGAATAAATGTTATCTGAAGTCACCAGAGATTCCTTGAAGAAGTTAGGGCTTAAGGTGAGCCCTAAAGGCTGGGGAGGGATTCAGATGCTCAGAACAGAGGACACTCCAGGTCAAGGGCCAGGGTGGGGGCCCAGGGGCAAAGGAAGGGAGGTAGGAATAAGCAAGGTGTGTGCAGGGAACAAGAGACTGAGCTGCTCGGACCACAAGACAGGTGAGGAATCGGATGCTCTCTAATAAGGTGGGGCCCACTGGCCAAATGAGGCCCATGAATGAGATGAAAAAGAATACCTCTGGATTTTTCCTGAATATAAAAGCCACTGTGCAAAGATTTGTATCTTGAAAAATCAGGAGACTTGGCAATGCTAGGTTTATATTCCTTCTTGAAAGGATCAGCTAGAGGCCCAGTCCTCTCCAGCATCTTCCAGGTGGTGTTCTTCAGCCACCTGGGACTCTTGGGTCCTGCAGTGTGGCCCTGGAGGTGAAGAACAAAGACTCTGGAGTCTGACTGACCTGGGTTCACACACCTGCTCTGCTCTTTGCTACCTTTGTGATTGGTGTTGAGTTCATCACATAACCTTGCTCAACCACAATTTCCTCATCTGTAAAATGGGCATAATAGTAGAACCAACCTCATAGAACTGATGCGAAAATAAAATGCTTTAGAGGATGGAAGGGGCCCAGCATAGAGCCTGGAAAGTGGTTGGTATTCCCTCATGTTTGCTACTGATGTTGAAAAGATGAGGACAGGTGAAGGGAACTTCCGCACATCAGACAGAGAAGTGTGGACTTACCCTCTCTCCCTCTCCCTTCCAGAGGGCACGAGACATCCAGGTGACAGTGGAGCAGTGGGGTTACCCAGATTTAATTCTCTGGGTGAACCCTTATGCACCCATAAAGAAGGTGAAAGAGAAAATCCAGCGGAGTCGGGCCTACTCGGGCCTGCAGCGACTGTCCTTCCAGGAGCCTGGTGGTGAGCGGCAGCTCCTCCGCAGTCACTGCTCCTTGGCCTATTATGGGGTCTTCTCCAACACCCGCATCTGTATGCTGGAGACCATCCCCCCCGAGATCCAGGTCTTCGTGAAGAATCCCGATGGCGGGAGCCATCCGTACGTCATCCACCCCAACAGCTTCGTCCTGGGCCTGAAGCAGCAGATTGAAGACAAGCTGGGGCTGCTCAGGAAGCAGCAGCAGCTGGAGTTCCAAGGCCAAGTCCTGGAGGACTGGTTGGATTTGGGGCGCTATGGCATCCAAGACAGTGACACCCTCATCCTCTCCGAGAAGAAAGAAGGAGAGGCTTCACTTCCAGACAGCTAGTTTCCTCTGGGAATCTTCTCTGTGCATTTCTGCCACCGAATCCAGAACCACTCCTCCAGTTCTCTGCGGGGAGGTCCCGTCTCTTCACCAGCTTTATAAAAAGAGGTGAAGGAAGCTAAATAAACAAACGGACAGTGGCCAGACCATATGTGACAATAGCTTGTTTTTGGTTTTGGTTTTTTTGGCAGCTGGCAGGTACAGGGATCTCAACCCTTGACTTTAGTGTTATAACACCGTGCTCTAACCAACTGAGCTAACCAGCCAGCCCACTGACAATGGAATTCTGACCCATAACCTTCTGTAGCAACCATCTAGGGAGGCCAAATCACACCTCTGCATCAAGCAACCCCAAACCATCAGAACTCGGTCAATAATCACCAGCTTTTCTAATTCCCTACCCCATTCCCACCACCTC